CTCCTGGTTACTCAAAAACAATTATGTGTATGAGGTTTTACTAATCTTAAATAGCTAGGGAAAATTAAAAATTCACACCAAGCAGAAGCTTGGGACCAAGGGGTGCCAGCAGGGGGGCTTACCAGTAATTTTAAGAGTGGTCTTTGCCCCCCACCCCTCCCCGGCCCCCCACTTTCTGACACCCCTGCAAACTGCCTTTTTGCCTTCATATGTTGTATCTACTGTATTTATTTCTATTCATTGTCCTAGTTAGGCTTTATCTTTGGTCCCGAGTGTCTCTGGATGAATAAATCTTGTTTCTGTTCCCTCATTAAGTGAACTTTTGTGTACTCCTGTCATTCAGCTTATTGTGTACTTTTGTTTGTGTGATTTGTGGGACGCTGCGGCAGTCCGTCAGCGGGGTAGCCAGCTTTAATGTATAATGAATAAGGACGGAGGTTATTTTTGGTTCACCCAGTGTTCCTCCACTTCTCCTCTGCAGATATCAGCAGTAACCTTAACCCAGATGGAGAGGAGAAGCTCACAGATCTGCATACACGACTGAACACGACAACGGTAAATACTATAGACATAATTTATTAGACATAATTCAAATGTTTGGCTAGATTGTGTACTATTTATACTTTAGTAATTTTAGCACTGTTGAGAAAAATGCACCATTTTTCCTTTGAAGCTACTAGAAAATAAAAAAACATACAACTTCTTTCTCGGCAAATTATTTCCACTGTAAAACTGCCCAGACTTTAATGTTAGTTGTAACCAACCCCCCATGTGATAGCATAACCCTGACCCCAGGCAAATTTGRAAAATGCCAACARAGTGGGCGGTGCCAAGAGACAATGAGGGGCGTGGCCAATTGTGGGGATGAGTGAGGATGTGTGGTCAAGACAAGGGAACGTGACAGCTAGCTTAATGTGACAAGCTAATATTTCTGAAAACATTTCTGAATTATTGTATTTTGTAAAAATAGTTTCATTTTATACTGTACATGCAACTATGTTCCTATCTGTTTATTTTTTTAACCTTTGTTTAACCAGGTAAATTCCATTGAGATGACATCATTTTTAAGGATGGATCTAAAGGCAGACTTAACCTGGTGTTTTTGGACTGTGGGAGTAAACCAGAGTATCTGGTAAATAAAATTCACAAAAAAAAAAAAAGACCCTAGGCCCATCTATGTTCCCTCGTACAGGTGTCGATGTACTTATATTTCCCGGGAATTATGTTCCTCAATACCTATACTCCATAGAACCTATGTGTCCCAGTACTTAAGTTTCTCGATACTTATCTTTTCTTGTACCTATTTTCCCCGGTTCTTTTGGTTCCCAGTACATATGTTCCTCAGTGCCTATGTTACCCGATACCTATCTTTTCTGGTACTTATGTTTCCYAGTACATATGGTCCCAGCACCTGTGTTCCTCTTTACCTATGTTTTCCGGTATCTATCTTACCTGGTACCTATGATACCTGGTATTTATGTTACCTGGTACTTATGTTCCCAGGACCAATGCTCCTCAGTATCTATGTTTTCTGGTACCCATGTTACCCAGTACTTATGTTTCCCAGTACTTATGTTTCCCAGTATATTTCCCAGTAGACCTACTGTATGTCTCATTCAAAAACAAGGATGTAAAAAAATGTATTGTCTTAAGTGCAAAATTTACCCGTTCTTGAGTTCCAAATTTCCCGTCAGCCACCAGATGCACCTCATAGGTAAAGTTCATGGTCATGGCCAACTTGATCAGGAGATCGATACAGAACCCATAGCAACACTGGGGCACAATTGGACGTCCTGCAACGGAACCAGCAATGCTTTCAAATTACAAACACGGAGAGAGAAATATTTATGAAAAATAATGAGTCGCAAGCACAGAAGTCCAAAAATATTGTTAAAATGCCTTTTACTAATGGGATTGCATTCAGATAGCTCTAAACACAACGAACAGCCCTATGGCACATTGAAAACCACCTCTGACCACTTTACACTTGGTAGTCTGGACAGAATCTGCCCAACTATAAGACCTCAAACTGAACTGATTTGCTGTTTTATTTTAATCAAAGTGGATTGAAGTTCTATAGAAGAGGAAGTTTCTCTTTGGTTTAATGTTTGCTCTGATTGTTTTAGAACCTACCGTGGTCACTGTAAGCTATAATAAGCTGTGTCAATCCGAGGGCAACAGTGTGAAACAGGGTTACGATATATTATTTCACGTAATTAAACAAAGTTTAATTCACAGTGACAGTGGACTTTTACAGGACACTGAAATGTCTCTGAACCACGTTAATGTGGGGTGCTTGTATGAACAGAGGTGTCAGAGCTAACAACTTGCGGTCAGATTTGTAACAAGATGTCAGCTTTAAACACCCTGAGATGACAATATTTTACCTGGGATGGTCTCATTGGGCCCTGTGCAGATAACTTTTTTAATCAGGACTCCATTTAATGTCATTTCCTCTTTGCATGTTCCATCCTGCTGAGTRGGTTTCACGTAGACAAAAGGCTCCTGGTGGATGGTCACGATCTGCAGCAGACAGGAAACATTGGGAATAAATCAATGTAATTTTCCTCTGCTTCATTAGAGAAACGTGAGTTTAAGGTGAGGAAATCTGTGTAGACATGACCGCTACATTGCCCCCCCCTGCCCCCCCCCCCACACACACCTTTAATCGGGTGGACATCTGGAAGCCCTGTGGTTTTTCGGTCTCCCCTCCAGGCCAGATGATCTTCCGCTGATTGTTCATCACCACCTGCAGGGATGGCAGGCACAGAGCTGCATTACAGGGGAAAGAAGGCATGCTGCTGATGAGGCTCCCAACACTCCGGGTGAGCATCACTAATGAGTCATCGTTACATAACCACGACTCAGCACTTCACTTATTTATTGCCTCAAACGCGGAGCTGTAAATAATACCTGAGGGTTTCAGGGTCTTAATAACAACAAACCCACCAGCAGGAAGCTGATTCCTGATTCCTCATGTCCAGCATTGTGCTTTGAAATAAACACTAACAAATGTAAAACAAAGGAATGTAATACAGATTTAGTTATAATTAACTGTTAACTAACTTTGTTTTATCAGCTTTTTACTACATCTGCTTAATACAAGAGATACACAATACTGGTATCCAAGAATCAGGTACTGGTTCGGATACCATGTGCTTGAACTTATATACATAAAAATGTTTTTTACGGCATTAGTCAGTCGTTTACGACARACAAGTAGCCCAAAAGTTAGGGATGCACCGCTATGAAAATTTCAGCTAATTTCGATTTTATTATTGGTCTTATGACCGATATTACACAAACACACAAATTATTTACATGCATATACGTACAAATACACGTGTCTTTTTTCGATACCATAAAAAACAACCAGACCGCTGATATGGCTCTACTTCAGTTATTCCTGGCGCAACATCACTATCATGATCTAACAAATACCACTCAACCAACCATCTCCCCTCCCAAAACAGAAACACAAAGCTAAAAATTGGAAAATCAATATCGGATATTAACATCAGCCTGGTTTTACTTATCAGACCGATACCGATATTCTAAAAAAAATTCTAAGAAATTGGTCATTTCTAAAAAAATGACCAATATCCGTCATGACCAATATCTGATAATGCCTATCAAAAGTCCTAACTATTTGGTAATTCTAACCCATCAATGAACGATTGGACCAAACAAGTCAACAACTGTGTCATACAAGTTAACTAGTAAACATCAGAAAACCTTTTCGTGTTAACTAGTCACCACAAATTAGCCAACTTGTGAAACCCAGAAAAACAACTAGTTGATTAATAAACATTAAAATGAGGTACATGGGCACAATGTCTGTTGACCAGTTGGGATTTGTTACAGTTTTGGATGTTTACTAATTAACTTGTTTAACACAGTTGTTTATTTGTTTGGTCCAATGGTCAACTAGTGTGTGAAAAGTCAACTAGTTGGGATTTTTGGGGTATTAGTGCAGCAAAATTGTTGACCAGTTGTTAAACTAGTCAACAACTGTGTCAAACAAGTTGTTTGTATGCAACAGAAACCCTACATGCCAAGGTGCACTGSTTGACCAGTGAGCATAATTTGTGTCAACTGTTTAATGTGATGGTTTTTGATGTTTATTAATTAACTTGTACAGCACAGTTGACTTGTTTGGTCCAATGGTCCACTAGTGTGGGAAAAGTCAACTAGTTGGAATTTTGGGGCTGCTAGAGAAACAAAATGAGTGACAAATCATCAAACTATTCAACACAAATTATGCCACAAGTTCATTTACGCCATTTTAGTTTTTACAAACCAGCCAGTGGCCATAATTGTGTTGAGCAGTTAATGTGATGGTTTGCTAGTTAACATGTAGGGTGTCTGTTGTGTGCTAATCAAGTTGTAGCCTACGACACAGTTGTTGACTAGTTTGGTCCAATAGTACTAGTGTGTGAAAAAGCCAACTTAGTTGGGACCTTTGGACTCCTAGTGCAACAAAATGGATGACTAATCGTTAAACAAGTCCACAGCATAAAACCATTTCAGTAGTACGCAACAGAAACCCTACATGTTAAATAATCATCAGAAATATTGCCCACTAGTCAACTACTGAAAACTAGTTGACTACTAAACATCAGACTAGTGTAATGGGACATGATCTCAGTTGACCAATTAAAATATAAAGGTATTTGATGTTTACTAGTTAACTTGTACAACACAGTTGTTGACTAGTTTGGTCCAATGGTCCACTAGTGTGTAAAAATCAGTTGGAACTTCTGGGCTACTAGTGCAACAAAATGAATGACTAGTTGTCAAACTAGTCAACAACGGTCAAACAAGTTAATTAGTATGCATCAAATACCATTACATCTTAAAGTGTCACCACAAAATAACCCCATTATACACAATTTTAGTGTTGACTAGTTAAATTTATAGGGTGCACTAGTCGACCAGTGGGCATATGAGTTTTTTTTTATGTTTACTAGTTAACTTATACGGCAATGCTGTTGACTAGTTTGGTCCAATGGCCCACTAATGTGTGAAAAGCCAACTAGTTGTGATGTCTGGCCTACTGGTACAACAAAATGAATGACTAGTAAGACTTCTGCTCCAACTAGTTGAGCAAAAGAGCCAGTAGCGTTACAAGCACGTTTGTTGAACTAGTGCAACCAATCGTGAAACTGATGCAGTGATGTCGTCAGCTAGAGGGTGAAATTGAGAGTGGACACCAAGGACTTAGAATAAATACACAGATGGTTTCCCATAAGCGTACTTTTGCCTCACCTGAGTTCCGTTGTAAATGCCGACTTGAACAAGGCGAGACTTCTGGTAGTTCAGGATGCTGTAGTGTGCGTACTTCCTGTCTCCATCATCATTGAACTCAACGCGTCCCGTGAGGCCCTCTGGGTATTTAGATGACATCAGCACCCTGCAGATAAACAAAGTGAAGCAAAAGGGTAAAAAGTGCATCTTGTTGTGTCAGTTCTTTTGTGTTCTGAATCACCACTTTTTTTTGTTAGAAAACTTGATGACGGAGCTGCGGTTGCTGAGCTTGGATAATATTTGCAATTTGCTGCCGTTTCTGTTCAGAAACAGATTTTTATGGCACTGCAGAGAGTCTTTAGTAAGTAGGTCAGCTTCGTCTGTTAAGAGGAAAGTAGATTCTGGAAAACCTGAAGGAGATGATGGAGTTTAAACTGAAATGGTTGTTTATATGATTTATTACGCTAGTTATATTGTTAKCGGTTCAAATCAAAAGGGTATTACCGTTTAAAGAGGGGTCCGGTTTTCCAAATGTTGGTGTTGCCCACACATCCCCTCGGCGGTTCGGTGATGTTTTCCTTCTCGAACAGCTCCTGAATGGACTGGGCCACCACGGCCACCGCGTCATTGATGTGCGCCGACTCGTTCTTTCCATTGATGAGCTGGAGGGCGATCAGACCTGAGAGCAACAGAGGTCAACCTGAGCAACGTGTTTCCTGTTCGTGGTGACGCCGTCAGATATCTGAACGCCACTCATATCAGACCCTTTGTGATCTTTGAGACGGCGATTAGAAACCAGGATTTATATTTAATTAATGCACACAAGATGTTTAAACGATTAACACCAAACAATTTAAAAAGGCAGAGGGTGGGATCCATCCACTGTTACAGCAAATCTCTGTAATCCTGCTCAGCTTCGGAGTAAAGCCCGGGTTAATTCTGTCTGTTCTGCAGAACTCCGCGGGATGAACGTACCATCTGGTGCCTCACTCAGGGCTTTACCCGACATCTCCCGCTCGCCCACCAGCCACACGTAGCCCGAGCCCGTCATGTTCAGGAAGCGGGCGGCCTTGTACACGGCGGCAGCATCGTCCTCGCTGGAGACACGACCAAAACACACAAACAGGATCAAACTTTGGTGACTGAGAGTCTAATGAGCTTTTTATTGTAAATAAAAAACAACACTGACTTTACCAGCTGCCATTGAAGGTGAGCGATAATACTGATTCATTTGTCTGCCTGTTAGCAAAATAAATTTGGTGTCGGCCAAATTTATTGTCAAACTAGAACTGCTGAAATGGCAAGTGATTTGTCAACCAGATGTAAATGCCACTATTTTTAAGATGGCAGACCACAACTGGTCCAGTGGTGGTTTGGTTCACTGTATGTGTTCTAAATCTGGCAGTGCCACAGCTAGCTTGATTGTAGTTGGGTTTATGTGACCTAAATCTGTCAATGCCACAACTGGCCCAGTTGTGGTTTGGTACACTGAATGTGTCCTAAATCTGTCAATGCCACAACTGGCCCAGTTCTGATTTTGTACACTGTATGAGTCCTAAATCTGTCATTGCCACAACTGGCCTGGTAGTAATTGGTTTACTATATGTGGCCCAAATCTGTCAATGCTACAACTGGCTGGATTGTGGTTTGGTTTACTGCATGTGACTTAAATCCATCAATGCCACAACTGGCCCGGTTGTGGTTTGGTTCGCTGTATGTGGCTTAAATCTATCAATGCCACAATTGGCCTGGTGGTAATTGGTTTACTATGTGTGGCCCAAATGTGTAAATGCCACAACTGGCCCGGTTGTAGTTTGGTTTACTTTATGTACCCTAAATTTGTCAATGCCACAAATGGCTGGATTGTGGTTTGCTTTACTGTATGTGGCTTAAATCCGTCAATGCCACAACTGGTCCAGTTGTTGGTTKGTTCAGTCTGTGGCCCAGATTTGTCAATGTCATAACTGGCCTAGTTGTGGTTTGGTTCACTGTATGTGGCTTAAATCCATCAATGCCACAACTGGTCCAGTTGTTGGTTGGTTCACTCTATGTGGCCCAAATTTGTCAATGTCATAACTGGCCTGGTTGTGGTTTGGTTTACTGTATGTGGCCCAAATCTGTCAATGCTGCAACTGGCCCGGTTGTGGTTTGGTTTATTTATTGCTGGCCTATGTACGTATGGACCAACACTGGCAAGCCACATCTGGCCCAGAAAGGGACTGTCATTCTTTGCATCATCTGTGCCAAATTTTACATTTTGCTATATGGAAATAGACAGATTTGATTAAAACCATCAAAGTATCCACAGAATATAAATCTACAACAGATCACATTTTGGCATCAACAAGTTTGTGTTTAAGGTCTCACCTGGCGGACAGGATGATGACCCGGGCCTCCAGCTCCTTGGCCTCCAGCAGCAGGGTGGTTAAGTTTGTCTCCTGACTGAACTGTAGGACTTTCTCTGCCTGTGGTTGGGGCAGAAGAAAGGTCAAGCCAGCTACTTTTTCCCAGCCAACAGACACCGTGCTGCCTCGTCACCTGCGTGGATCGAGCTTGGCCGTTTTTTTTTTTTTTTTTTAGTTTGAAAAACGAGAGACAGAGGTCAAAAGGTAGAGAGCGATCCAGGGGGGAACCGGCTCAACTAAAAAAAGGGAAAAAAAAGCTTGAAGGGAAAAAAAATAAACTTTTGCATTTGTTTGCATGCAAAACTGAGGGTTATCAAGGCTCCAAAGAAGAACGTGCATGTGTTAGGTAGAAGGGGAGAAGAAGGTCAATGCAACCAGTAACTAAAAACAGGTGTAAGAGGGATGAGGGGGACGTTTACCCTCCAAAAAATAAGAAAAATAAACAAACTGCTTAAATTGGGGGAAGTGCTACAGAGCAGGAGGAAGTAGCATCTGGGAAAGTCCCACACTACCCGATCTCCACAAAGGAATGGACTTGCAAWCTTTATTTGTGTGTGTGTGGGTGTGTGCGTGTGTGTTTCGAGTACATGCATTTTTTTATTGAAGGAGAAAATGAAAATGATAAAAAGCGGGGGCGCTGTTTTCTTTTTTCTGTAATGACCGAAAAAATATTGCTTCATCACAAAATCATTCTTTCTTTAAATTATTAAATAATGGGACATATCTCAAATTAAAAGTAAAAAAAATAAAGACGTGCTATCAAGAGAGGGTCTTTTCTGGGTCGGCTGGTGACTGGTTCGGGCTGGTTTCTAGTTGCTACGTTTGGAAAGTTGGTGGGCGGCGTGCATTGACCATGCAAATATACCTTAGGTCCTCGCTTGTTGTCATAGGACAGTTGGTCGAGGTTTTCATAGTTCCTTTTTTTATTCTGATGAGTAATGTGCACAGAGAAAATATGCAGACACAGAAAAATATTATAAACAGTTGAAAATGGAGGGCAGTAAAGCATTCCAACAAATCTCCACTTTTCTGCTTCAAATTGGGACCTTTAACACCGGGGCTTGCAAAAACATCAACGCCAAAATAATTCAGTTTGTCTAAAAATAAAGAAAGTGAAGAGTTAGCTAACCGCTGAGACGACAAACCTGTTGGTGTGTTAGTTAGCTGTTAATGGACTTAAAGTTTACAAAATCTAATTTAGTGGAAGCTAATTAGTCAGCTAACGTATTTTAAAGCTAGTGAAACAGCTAAATCACTAAACAAATCAAACTCAAGCATCAGTGCTATCATGCTAGTATCAATACGATCCAATAGCAATGGGCACAGCTAATCAAAAAGTTAGCTTCCCTAACTCATAGTCCTCTAACTGTTAAACACTGACTGGTGGGATTGACAGAAACCTGTTGATGTTAGTGGACTTTAGTGTTAGGTAATTGGTCAAAGTTAGTGAAAAGGTTACTCAGCAAAACAAAAAGTTTGTTCTGCTAGAATAGCGGAACCACGCCCACTACTGGTAATAGCAATATCCAAATATGGTTGAAGGTTTCTTCTTTCAAATGACGTTAAGCAAACCTCATTAGAATGAAAATAGACCCAATTTCCAAGGTTAATCCTGATTACTGAGCCAGAAATCACAAAATGCGCTGAGTTTAGCTCAACCAAACCTGACCTGTTGATGTTAGTTTATTAGTTAGCTGTTAGTGGACCTAAAGATGGCAAAACCTAATTTAGTGGAAGCTAAYTGGTCTACTGACGGTGAAGTTTGTGAAAAAGCTAATCTGCTAAAGACAAACTCGGGCATCAATCCCATCATGTTGTTATCGATATGACCCAAGTGGTGAGTCTAAAAAGCTTTGCTAATGGTAAATTGCTAAACAGGTAATAATAATAATAATAATAATAATAATAATAATAATAATAATAAAACAAAAACAAAGGATAACAAACATTAAAACAAGTAAAAATTAGCAGAAGCTAAGCTAGTACAGCTGTTACTCAGTCTGCGTCACACGTTGTCGTCTTCGAGCTGAAAACTGGTGAGACTGACACAAAGCTGTAGATGTTAGTTTGCTGTTAGCTGTTAGCACACTTAAAGTTGACAAAACTAATTTATCAGAAGCTACGGTATGTGATCTGCAGCAGTTTTCAAAGTTTGTGAAARARTTAATGTGCAAAATGAAGAATTAGCTATGCTATTATAGCCGGTTGCTGATTAGCAGAACTGTACCCACCACTTCAATAATTATTGTTTTAGTTCTAAATAAAACCAACCTAGGCGTGTTGGAAATGTTTGTTTATTCAAATGATGCACTACAAAGTTTTGAAGGTTATTTTAGGCCGTGAGTGTTGTTGGTTCAGTACAATTCAAAATGGCCGCCACAACAAAGCCACTTTAGCCCAAACAAAAATGGCTAAAATTCTGATAATTTTACAGATATTTAGCTAAAACCTTGGCATTAACTGTTGGAGTCAACCATGTTTGTTTATTAGCAAAATATCCAATGAAACACTTGAAGGATTTTAATGAAACACCCACAAAGAAATGTTTAAAACTGATTAACATTTGGAATCAATCTAACTTAAGATGGCCGCCACAGCTAATCGACCTTAGCCCACACAGAAATGGCTACATCCCAGTAAATAAGACACAATACAAATTTATAGAAAAAAAATAATTATCTGAATCTGGTTTTGTTCTCATGTCCTGCAAGAAACTTGTATTCCTCCCTGAAACAGGAAGTCATATTACAGAAAAAAAAACATCTAAAATGTTTCTGGTCCATGAGTTGTCACACAGCTGTCATGAGTTCAAAGCTCTCACATCGATGCTTCCTGACTCCATCCCTCATAAAAACTAGACTGACTGCACATCAATACAATGTTCAGCCGGCACATAAAACACCCAGCAAATCCTGTCCAATAACTCCTCCATGTAACGCTCCAAAGGGACCCATTACACAAACAGGCAGAGTGTATAATTGTGTCAAACTTTTATGCTCGAGTTGTGCTAAATGCTGGAAAATCATCATTAAATTAGAAGTCATAACTGCTTCATGCTAATGTAAACCCCTACACACCTCTGTCACTTCAATTTTACTAATATTATATTACTGTCAACCTGTTAAAATACACCAGAGAACAGAATTTATTTCATTCAATGTGTCAAAATAACAAACTGAAACGTATCTGTTGGCAAATCCTTCACTCTTACATTATATTTTTTCAAATTGACATTTTAAAACAGCGTCATAGAATTTCTGTTATGGATTTTAGTTTTGGTGTGCCACCCCTGTTTTCATTGGCCCCCYCCAAAAAAAATTCTGCAGGCGCCACTGCAAGGTTTAGCTATTAGCTGTTAGCTCAAACTAGCCATTAAGTTAGATTAGTCATTAGGATGAACTAGCAAATAACATGGATGTTAGCTTAAAATAGCCATTAGCTTGGTTTTGGTCTTAGCCCACACTAGCCATTAGGTTAWATCAGCCGTTATACGAACTAGCATTTAGTAGACTATGGTCTTTTTGAATTTAGCTCAAACTAGCTTTTAACTTGAAGTAGCATTTAGCTTACAGTATCTATTAGCATAAGCTACTTGTTAGCTCCATCTCTAACCCCTTCAAAAAATCTGCTTGTGCTTTATTTAAAAATAACTGGATGATATAGTCAAAGGAAGAGCTCAGAGGAGAAAAAAAATTGTTCTTTTTCAGACCTCGGCATGTTTTTTTATTAGCCTTCTATCATTTATACGTATTTTTAAATGTGCTCAAAACTAAAAGTCTCTGCTGAGATGCTGGTGTTTTAATTAAAGCGGTGCTTCATCAAATGATGTTATAGAACCGGAGATACCAGAACAAACGGACACTGTTTGTTTTCTCACTGAATGCAGACCGAGTATCAATATTTTACAGCTTTTCCAACATGCCTCAGGCAGTTTGCTTCCTTTACTGTCATTTTTTTTAAAGCAGACCTTAGTTATTTAGTAAAACTGGTGCAAAACGACTTCATCGGGATTTATTTCCAACATAATTRTGCTTTTTAAGCCAGTTTATTTCATTCAAATCAGATAGAGAAAGAGAGAAAAAGACTGCATGTTGAATTTTAATAGTTTATTGACAGCAGTGGAGCTATGCGGCACAGAGCAGCTAACTCTATATTAGACTATCGATATGCTGTTTGTTCGATTGATTTAGTTGTTTTTCGTCTCGTTATGTGACCTACAGAAAGTGGAATTCCATCAGACATGTTCATATGACTTTTTTGCATAAATATTGCTGCATAAATGTGGATTTATTTTCAAATAAAACCTAACACCGGCTCTGCAGCGGAATCTAAATATATTCATAATTGGAGTCTCGGAGGAGGAAACAGTTGCGGTAACTTGTCGCGGCGCAGATGGGCTCATTCTGAGATCCAAACAAAGACGAAAACAAACTTAAAAAGGCTTTTTATTTCTCATCATTGTTTTTTTTTGCTTTCAAGTGCAGAAAATGAATCTTATCGGGCGAATAGCTGCACAAATCAATCTGATTTTTCTCCAGCGGTTGAAGTGTTTTCCTGTTGGCGAGCTGCTCTAATCCCGGTAATCTGAGCAGCTTTCACTTTAGCTTCAGCTTCAAGTGTCCCCTGGGCATGTGTCATACTCGGCGTCTCTCCGGCTTTTGATTTAATTAAATCTCTCTGAATCAAGACTCCTTTCACTCGACCACACAATTACAGCAGAGAGCCCCAGAGAGGAAGGAGCAGGAAGTAAAAAAGTGCGTCCCCAGTGTGATTTCATCTGATTAAATGGATGCCTTGTCCTAAAGGGCGCACGCATCACTGCGCACTGAAAATATGTTATTTATTTACTTGAAGTTTGGCTTCTTGCTGACCCACATAAGGAGCTGAGAGGCAGATTTAAAATGGCTGCTTCGGCCTTGACTGAAAAAGCTAAATTTAACTACAAAAAAAAAAAGAAACCTACCCTGAAACAATGGCTATCAGATTTTTTTAAATGACTAATCAGAAAATGTTATGTGTAGTAAATATCTTACCCGTTTGAGATAGTTCTGTGAATGGCCTTAGTTTGAAGAAATTGATTCTGTTTCTGAGTTTATTTATTTAAAAACATACTTCCAATGAAAATACATTAATATATATTCAATTTCTTAAAAAGCATTGTTCTACTTTTAGATTTTAACTAATGTGTTGCTACTTTTAGCTACCATTCCAACACTTTTAGTTTTCGGAAAACTGCTTTTTGTTTTTAGCTACTAATTTATTACATTTAGCTTTTAGTTAAGACTGTAACATTTTTATTAATCATTCTGCCACTTTTAGCTACTGTTCTGTTGATTTCTTTGAGCTGCTATTCTCCTACTATTAGGGTCTCAATAGCTTTTTGCTTTTTTAGTTAGCTTTTTGTAGCTTTTAGCCCCTAATTTTGGTACTGTCATCTAGACCTTTGTCACTTTTAGCCAGCCTTTTGCTACAGTTAGTTTTTCACTAATGGTTRACATTAAAAAAAGCATTATTAGCATTCTTTTACATTTTGCTTTTAGCTACTGTTCTACTATTATTAAGGTTTCACTAGTTTTTTGCTCCTTTTAATTAGCTTCTTGGAACTTAATAGCTATTAATTATCATTTTGGTACTTTTAGCTTTTAGGAAGCTGTTTACTCCTTTGAGCTTTTAGATGTTTTGCTATTTTTAACTAGCCTTTTGTGATTGTTAGCCTTTTTGCTACATTTAGCTTTTAGATAACCTTTTGCGACTTTCAGCATTTAGTTATGGTTTGCTACTTCAAGCTAGCATTTAGCTACTTTTAGCTACCCTTTTGTAATATCCCACCAGCCTACATTTAGTTTTTAGTTATAGTTTTGTACTTTTAGCTTTTAACTACTGCTTTGCCACCTTTAGATTTTAGTTACTGTTTTTAAATTTTAGCTTTCAGCTAGCATTTGATTATTTTAGCTTTAAAATTAACTTTCATTAAAGTCATTAAACTCTTAGCATTTACATTTTTTATTAGCAGTTGATAAAGCATTTATTTGTGTTTATTAGCCACAAGCTTGGAGAAGTCATTAGATTGATCTAGGTGCTAGTACAAACTCAGATTAACTGCTAGCTTGAACTAGCATTAGCTCAAACTAGCCATTAGCTCAGACTAGCCATTAGCTCAGACTAGCCATTAGTTTAGTATAGATATTGCTCTGACTAGGCGTTAGCTTGTCAGTCCAATCAGAGTCAAACTTTTTCTCCAAATTAAGGTTGTTCAAAGGGATATCTACAGCAGGTAAGATGATTATTGTTTGCAACCTCTCAGCTCACTTCAAATGATCTGAAAGAGTAAAATACCCCGAAATCAACTTTTTGCCTTAAGGGTAATAAACACTTACCGCTAAGCTAAGGCTAGTTGTCACGTTCGCTCCTCCTGACCACACCTCCTCGCTCACCCCCACACACTTTAGGCCACGCCCTCAGTGTCTCCTGGCACCACCCACTTTGTTGGCATTTTTTGATTTTTGCCTTGAGGCAGAGTAATGCTTTCACGGGGGGGAGGGGGGGGGTAGTTACTCTTGAAGTATCCCTCAGTCTGTGATGGTTTGCAGAGCCCCGTGTTAAAGTCCACTATTTGGCTCCCAGTGTGGATAGACACAAGATAATTTGGACTATGGCAGAAAGCAACGTGAGGATGAGCAAATAAACATACAAACTTCTGTCAGATTAGACCACATTAGACGCTGTCGATGTCTCTGGGAATGTTAGCCAATGTTTACACAATGGTGAGAAAGAGATGTGTCCAGATAACAGGAAGGGGAGACAGTTACACACACACACACGCAGTCAGTCAAACACACACACACACACACACCTGAGGGCAGAGGGGTCAGCGGGTCGGGGAGCCAGAGCATCTCACCTTGGTCTCCCTCTCCTCCAGGAGGGTCTCCAGCCTCTTCTGAGCAGCCCGGCCCTCGTGGTCGTCACTCACGATCAGGATGATGTGGTTCCAGTTGAACTCGCGCATCAAGTCGAACCAAACGTGCGCCTGGTGGGAGTAAGGCGGGACGGTGCGCAGGAAGGACAGGTGGATACTCTGAGGAGGCAGGACAATAAACAACAACAACACTGTAAACAACCAAACTCCTGTTAATGAACCAGATATCTTAACTTCCTGACATGGCTGCTTTTTTAAAGGGAACTCTGACTAGTTTTACCCACAGACGTTATACAATACACATTTATTTCAACAACAACAACAACAACAACAACAACAACAACAACAACAACAACAACAACAACAACAACAACAACAACAACAAAGTAGAAATATACTGTGGGTTGTTTAGTTTTTAAATTAGGAAATTATGTCATTTACAGAACAAAGTTTTCTAGGTACATAGTAACACTTACATGGCGCTCCGGTGCGAGCTCTGTCC